TATACATATCGCGTCAATTGCCCATGTTACAATTATTATCAGGCCGGCCCATTATAGTAGGGAGTGGAGTGAACCGCAAGAGACGTGGTGACCGACTTTGGAACTTCCTGGAAGGTTCCTGCCCGGTGGGAACCTTCGTGAAAGTTCCTGAAACCGTTTTTTACATGTTTTTCTGGGTTTTATGTTTTTCTTTTACTATCTTTTGTATGTTTCATAATTTTGAAAAAATAAAAATCTTCACAATTTATTTGAAATGTTAAAAAATGTTTTCTTCTTCAAAAACTGTTCGCATCTAAAAAATTAGAAATTTTAAAAATTGCTCACAATTTTTATAAATGTTCATGTTTCTTGAAAATGTTGTTGGTACTTTCAAAAAATAGTTCCAAATTAGTTTTAAAGGTGCTCACGTTTGCAAAATTCATTTAAAAATGTTCACGTCTTCAAAAATGTTCGCGCTTAAAAAATCTTATTTTTCCAAAAAAAATAGTCACCCTTTAAAAAGAGGACTCATGGATATTTTATAAATTCATGAACAATTTTGAAATTTACAAAAGTAATGAATCCATGAACATTTTGATTTGCATGAACTTCCTTTGGATTCAGATTTTTTGAATTTGCAAAATAAAATCCGTGAACTCATTTTGAATTTGTGAACATTTTTTTAAATCCACGAACATTTTCTGAATTTGTGATCATTTTTTCAAATTCATGAACATTTTTTGACTTCTTAAACTTCTTTCAAATCCACGAACATTTTTTAAATTAAAATAAACCAAGAGAAAAAGAAGAAGCCTGGGCTGGTGGAAGACGCGCGTCTTATCGCGTGCGTGAGCGAGCTCGCCACGAGCGATACACAGCACCACCCATTGAAACCCTCGTCCCCAAATCATGTTCGTGACGGCAGATCCGGCCGTCGCCGGCGACGGCGACCGATCCCGTGACGGCTGGCCCTTCTGGAACATGCAGAGGAACCGGGGCCTCTCAGCCGCCTCGACCTCCACCAACTGGGTCCTCTCGGCCACCACGAAGAACGAGGGCTACTCCATCTGGACCTCCGTGGGCGGCAAATGGTGCCCCAGGCCCACGGATGCTCACGCCCCGGGGTACTACCACGACCTCGCCGAGTTCTACCTCGAGGCGGCCCGCCGCCTCCCCATCGCCGACATCCCGTACCTCTCGGACTGCATCTCCATCAGCGGCTTCGCCGTAGGCCTCGCCGACCCCATCACCAACATCGTCCTCACCATCATCAACGCTTTTGCCAAGAGACCATCCTACGTCGTGCTCGTAAAGCTAGACGACGCGCTAGAGAAAAGTAGCAAGAAGTCCACCTTCGCCGTCGGCGCTCGCGACTCCCGCACCGGCCTCATCAAGTTCTTGTTGTGCTACTTCCGCAACCTCATGTAGGATCAGGCGAAGAAATGCCTCAACATGGCCGGCCACCACCTCCCCCTCGCCGTCCGCCTCGTCGTGGTGGGGGCTCCGAGGTGGTTCCCGTTCCACTGCTACAGCCGGATGCTGCCAAGACCAGGACCGCTTTGCAGAAGGCCACGAAGTGCTCCAACACCGATGGCCTCCTTGACCCTGTCCTGGATGATTTGCGCAGAGGAAAATAGCTTAAAGCCGACTGCATCTACAAGATATGTGACCTGCTGCGTTGTTCATGGCCGCCGGAGGCAACCCTGCCCCAACTCCCGGCGTTTATCGGGACAACATGTAACACCCCGGATGTAACTTGACATATTTGTAACTTCGACTCTTGCCATTTTCGGCTTTAAGTTATGAGATTCCCTTCGTGGTTGGGTTTTTGTCTTTGTTTTGCTTTTTGTTCATATCATGCATTTCATATCATGTCATCATGTGCATCGCATTTGCATTCGTGTTCATCTCATGCATCCGAGCATTTTCCCCGTTGTCCGTTTCGCAATCCGACACTCGCACATGCACCGGCGCACCCCTCTTGTCTCTTTTCGTGAGCGGGTGTTAAACGTTCTCGGAATGGACCGAGATTTGTCAAGTGGCCTCGGTACACCACCGGTAGACCGCCTGTCAAATTTCGTTCCATTTGGAGGCCGTTTGATAGTCCAACGGTTAACCGGGTAACCGCAAAGGCCTCTTGTGTGTTGCAGCCCAACACCCCTCCAAAACAGCCCAATAACCCATCTAAACCACTTCCATGTCCTCCGCCGTTGGATCACGATCGTGTGGGCAAAAACTACACCTCATTTGGACACTCCAAACTCCCTCTACCTATAAAAAGGCTTCATCCTCCGAAAATTCACGCGAAACCCTAGTCTTCCCCTTCCTCCGCACGCCGGACACGTCCGCCGGCGCCAGACATGTCCGCCGCCGTCCCCTCGATGAATCACCCGCCGCCACGTCACCCCGCCGCTGCCCACCGCCGCCGCCCCGCGAGCCCGCAGCGGGCCCGCCGAGCCCATCCGCCGCCGCCCCGCGCCTGCTTCGCCCTCG